TCTGTCCTCAGCTGAGACGTTCTGTCCTCAGCTGAGACGCTCTGTCTTCAGCTGAGACGCTCTGTCCTCAGCTGCTCTGTCCTCAGCTGCTCTGTCCTCAGTTGCTCTGTCCTCAGCTTTCTGCCACACATGCAGTGTGGTCCACACCATGGTACCAAGCAGCCCTGTGACTTCCTGTCACCCTTCAAATAAAATGACTGACTAGTTGCAGGWCTGAAGACACCTGTGCTGTTTATTAATTGAGACCTTAATTAAAGTCATATCAGTTATCAGGACATTATTCCATGTTTTTGATTTGAAATGTTAGGGCCAGTTTCATTCGTTTGTCTTTTGTCAATATTTCAATTGAGCCAAAGCTCAAAAGCAATGACTCATTTTTATTAGTTTTTTTACATCTCAGTTTTAAGTTATTTTAGCAACCTTTRTGTTTTTATTTTTTAACAACTTTGTACAAACAACATTTTGTGAGTATGCAAATGTAATTTCTGACTGAATTTTAATGTAAGTTCTGACTTGTTTGTCTAGTTTTGTTTATGACAGAGTGAAAACATGTCAGCAAAAAGTTACTGATAAAATGGTTTATATTGACTGGATAAACTTCTAGTCTGAAACCATATAATCATAAATGTCTTGATTCTCTTGAAGTATAGGACTCTCAGCTACTACCACATCAAAATATAGCTCAGTATCTGTAGAACTGACTGGAAAGTAGCCATTTATGTGTTGGCTGAGGTCCGTTAGCTTTGGAAGTCGTCTATGATCAGGTTGACTCCAAAAGTTAATAAGTTGTAGAGGCTCAACCAGTGGTTCCCTTTGAGTTTCACTAAAATCCTTTCAGTGGCTTAGGAAATATTTTGCTAACAGACAAACACAAGCAAAAACTTTAGTGTACTTTTACTTTTGACATTTTGCAATTCTAAACTTTTTAAAATCAAATCATTTAAGTAGTATATTGCAGGAAAGGCTACCTTTACAATTGATACTGTGTAAAACTGCGGTGTGACATTTGGTTGTAGCATGAATGAATCAGAACAATGACTCACATTGAACCTGTTCTTCCATCTCTCAGGTGTTCCTCTGCAGACATACCTGCCTGATGTCAAAGAGCTGCTGGAGCTGGACGAGCTGAGCACCTTGAAATCCAAACCTTACTTTGAGTTTGTCCTTCGAGCTAATTATGAACATTACCTTCAGGCTCAGATGTGATGGGCTGGGTCCTCTCTTTAACGTGTCTTCACATTTAATTCATGTTCATTTGTTTGAATTGTGCTCTTTTTCTAAATAAATATTTAGTTGTTTCTGTATTAAAAACCTGCAGGAAGTTGCCTTTTTCTCCCAAAATAAATGATTTCCTTAAATAAGTATAGGGATTAAAGTTAAGTGACCTTGGATAAAGTGGACCAATTATGGGTCCTAGAAATGTTTATGGTATGTCTGTGGGCTATCCAGACCATGTTCATTC